GGAGTGGGGCTGCTCCCCGCAACCCCGCCCCCACCTCCCCATGAGCTGGAAGAGCAGGGCCAGTGGCCAGACCGCACTATGATGGGATCCCAAGCTCTGATTCCACCAGGCCAGCGACTCTGCTTCCCTGATCATATAAGCCCAAGGTCTGGGGTCACTCTCCTGGAGTCTGACGTCAGCCTGGCTAGGTCCCAGTGTGCTGCCCTGGAATGGGTAATACGCTTGTTCCTGAGCTTATCTCTGTGGGTTTTCCCCGATGAACCCTGATCTAGCAGGCAGTGTGTGGGCTGCTAAGTACTTTTCCCTTGTTTGCTCAAGGAGTTAGGAGCCCCAAGACCATTTCTACAGCCTTTTGCTTTGGCTTGTGAAAGGGAGGCTGCTCTCACTCTCTTCAGCTTGCTAAAAAAGGGAGGCAGAGTTCTGAGGAAGGCAGGCACTTGGGGGATGATGAAGGCTGCCTCCGTTTGCTGTGCCTACCGCCTCCTTGTAGACCTCCCCTCACTGCTCAGATCTCTCCCTGCAATGCATTATCCAGGCCTGCCCCCTCCCCACCACAACCCAGGAGCTATGGAGGCTCTGGTCCAAGCCCCACACTTGTCCGAAAGAGGTGCCTGGGCCCCACAGGAGCCTTGTGAGATGATGGCAGCTGTCTTCTGATCATTCAGTGGATCTGCCACCTACTCAGAGTGGTCTAGAAGTTGCTAACTCTCTGTGAGTCTCAGATTCCATAGTAGTCAAATGAAGGGTTTGAACTAAAATATTTTCAAGAATCTGTGCTCTTCTAACAGTCCATGATTTTTTAAAAGCTAATTTAATTTTTTAAATTTATTTTTCATTTTAAAATTTTTATTTATTTAAACAAATCTTTTATTTTAGGTTTTGGGGTACACATGCAGGTCTGCTAGGTGGGTAAACTCGTGTCGTGGGGATTTGTCGCACAGATTATTTCATCACTCAGGCACTGAACCTAGTACGCCATAGTTATTTTCCTAATCCTCTCCCTCCTCCCACCCTCCACCCTCAAGTAGGCCCCAGTGTGTGTTGCTCCCCTCTTTGTGCCTGTGGATTCTCATCATTTAGCTTCCACTTATAAGTGAGAACATGTGGTATTTGGTTTTCTGTTCCTGTGCTAATTTGCTAAGGATAATGGCCTCCAGCTCCTTCCATGTTCCTGCAAATGACATGATCTCATTCTTTCTTATGGCTGCATAGTACTCCATTGTGTGTATGTACCACATTTTCTTTATCCAATCTACCATTGATGGGCATTTAGGTTGATTCCATGTCTTTACCATTGTGAACAGTGCTGCAATGAACATATGCATGCATGTGTGTTTATGGTAGAATGATTTATATTCCTTTGAGTATATACCCAGTAACGAGATTTCTAGGTTGAATGGTAGTTCTGTTTTTTAGATCTTTGGGGAATTACCTCACTGTTTTCTATAATGATTGAACTAATTTACACTCCCACCAACAGTGTATAAGCCTTCCTTTTTCTCCAAAACCTTCCCAGCATCTGTTACTTTTTGAGCCTATGATTTATCTTTGTGGGAAATAGAGTAATTCTGTGGCCCTCCAACCTTTCAGTGGAATGAGTTAGAGAACTGCCAACAAAGCCAGCATCAGGATGGAGCAGAGTATCCAGTGCATAGCGGGTGCTGCCTGATTTTTTGTTAAAATCATAGTCTCATTTGAATGAGGACTGTCCTGATTCTTCCGGCCCTGTGCACATAGGCCAAGCTTGATTTCATGGCTCTCCCAGTTAATTTCCTCATCTAAGTTAGCATCAGCCACGTCCATGTCGAGCTGTGCTATTAAAAGCCAGAACAACAGCCTCATCGCTTCCATCGATGGTCATGTGGTGCTGGATAACAAGCCATAAATATACAAACTGTTGAGAAAAAATGTGAGATGAGTTGGGGTGGATGCACGTTGCCAGCCTGCCAGTCCGGGCCCCGCGCTGGCCTGGGTGCAGCCCTGCATTCCATGATGCTGCCCTGTCTCCGGTGTCAGGCTTGAGACTTCCCAGGCAACTTTTCCATGGGGCTCTGGGCCACCTCCTCCTTCCTGCCTCGCTTGAACTGGCCCCACATGCAGGACTGGGGACCGTCAAAGTATCTGAGCCTGGGGAAAGCAACAAATGCAAAGCACATGAGGATTCCTCCTCTGGGGAGAGTTTATCCCGTAAGTAATGACATCACGATCCCCCAGCCTCCCAGCGTGGCGTCCTCATGGTCATCTTCATCTTCTCTTCCTCTATAGGCTCTGCATCTGCAGCTACAAACCTGGAGAAGGCCCCATTAGGAGAATATTCCCCACGACTTTGCCAGTCCCTGTTTTGGCCCTTCTTCCCCTCAGAGTTGAGCCCTGCGAGAGTGTTCTATGCTCCTGGCCAACACACTCACTTTCTCTTTGCTTCTCAGACATTTTCATGTCCCTGACTGCTGAAACTGCTCTGCATAAAGGCCTGTCTCTACAAAAAATAAAAAAATTAACTGAGTATGGTGGCGGGTGTCTGTAATCCCAGCTAGTTGGGAGGCTGAGGCAGTAGAATCGCTTGAACCTGGGAAGTGGAGGTTGCAGTGAGCCAAGATCGCACCATTGCACTCCAGCCTGGGCACTAAGAATGAAATTCTGTCTCAAAAAAATTAAAAAGCACAAATGGCATGGTCTTACCATGTGATCTGGGTCCTTGCACTACTTGATCTTTGCAGCTTCATTCTTTTTTTTTTTTTTGAGACAGAGTCCTGCTCTGTTGCTAGGCTGGAGTGCAATGGCATGATCTAGGCTCACTGCAACCTCCGTCTCCCGGGTTCAAGTGATTACCTGCCGCAGCCTCCTGAGTAGGTGGGATTACAGGCATGTACCACCATGCCTGGCTAATTTTTTTGTACTTTAGTAGAGACGGGGTTTCACCATGTTGGCAGGATGGTCTTGATCTCCTGAACTTGTGATCCGCCTGCCTCAGCCTCCCAAAGTGCTGGGATTGCAGCGGTGAGCCACCGTGCCTGGCTGATCTTTGCAGCTTTATTTTTGATATCATATCCCTGAAATTTCCTCTTCCCTTAGCTCCCATGGCACGACTCCGGCTAGGTCCTCTATCCCTCACATGTCAGGCTTTCATGGTTCTGCTGTAGCTTTTGTGTCCTGCCCTCCTGACACCCCATGAGCAATTGCAGCTATGCCCCATTCCCAGACTTACACCTTCTCCAGTCTCCACCTACCTGCAGGCTGGATGCTTCCACAGAGTGTTCCACACATACCTCAAGTGCTAGTCCAAAGCAAAACGTGGGTCCCTCTCAGATTCCAGCTAGATTTTCCATCACAGTTATTCCTATTGTGAACCACTGAATTGGCTAGTTAGGGGCATCTGATTCAGTCTTGTTCCTTTAGCTTGGACTATCTCAGGAATCTCCTTCAATGGCATCTCTGCCCCCAGGCCTTTTGTCTAGTGATCCTTTCTCTGGACAAGGTCACACATCTGACCTGGACTCTCCTACTCAGCAGTTCCTGCCTTCTGCAGGACGGGGTCCCCCTGGCCATTCACGGCTTCCCACTGGCTGGCCTTCCTATCCTGTATACTCCGGGATGCCCCCTCACTTCCACCCTATACTTGAATCCACAGACCCTTATTTTTGGGCCCTCATGTATGCCATACTGTGCCCAGCTCAGTGCCTGCTGAATCTCATGCCTTCCACCTCCAAGTTCACCTTCTCTGAAAACTTCCCCTGACTCCCTTGCTCTTGTCTGCATCCCCAGATTTTGCACTTTGCCATGTCCCTGTTGAGCACTCAGGGAATCTTAGAGCTAGAAGGATGACAGACACTCTCCATCTTTCCACTTGGCTGTAACCCCTGCAAGCAAAGGGTTTAGGCTGTTATCTCCTGGACAGCCGGCACAGGGCCTGGCCCCAAATAATGCCTCCTGAGAGGACAGTAAGTTGGTTTCCACCATGAAGAACAGATGTTGGTGCTTGAAGATGAGCTGGCCTCCAAGAGGGGACCAGAAAGGTGCAAGGCCAGTGAATCATCTTCCCCATGGGGCAGCCAGTCAAGCCTCCAGAGGACTCCAGCAACAGCATGGAAAAAATAGCTCTCCATACGAAGCATGGAAACTGGACTTCAGGTCCTAGAAGAATGGGGCTTGTCTGCCTCTATTTAAAAAAGCAGGACCGTATAATGTAAATTAAACTAAATAAAAAGAAAGAGACAGAGAAGGAGAGAGAGAGAAGAAGGAAGGGAGGGAGGGAGAGTGGGAAGGAAGCGGGTAGGCAGGCCACTGTCCCCCGCCAATCCTTTGGGCACCGGTGGAAGCAGGTTCCGCATCTTGGGCCCAGTACTTTATCACCTGATTGCACTTCCTCCACCTTTCCCCAGGCAGAACTGTTGACACAGGGATCTACAACATTTGTATATATCAACACAGAAACCAATTAACAAATGCTTATGTTCCTGTGCAAATACGCAAACTTCCTTCTGCAGAAAGGGGTAAGCTGACACTTGGCAGTGTTTTTAGAAATGTTTAAAAAACACAGTCCAGGTGAGATGCAGGCTGCTCTGCCCTCCTCTGGGACGGCCAGTACGTGGAACCGTTTTTCTCCATCTTCCCTGCTGTGCTCTGAGTATGGGATGATCCTTGTCCTTAGCTTCATCTTTATTAAAGCTAGCATTTTTGGCCAGGCTTGGTGGCTCATGTCTATATTCCCAGCACTTTGGAGGCCAAGGCAGACAGATCACTTGAGGTCAGGAGTTCAAGACCAGCCTGGCCAACATAGGGAAACCCAGTTTCTGCTCAAAATACAAGTTAGCTGGATGTGGTGGTGTGTGCCTGTAGATCCAGCTTCTTGGGAGGCTGAGGCACCAGGATCGCTTGAATCTGGAAGGCAGAGGTTGCAGTGAGCTGAGATCATGTGACTGTACTCCAGCCTGCTCAACAGAGGGAGACTGTCTTAAAAAAAAAAAAAAGGAGGGGTCCAAAGTGGCTCCCGCCGGAGGCCATGGTGCTTGCGAAGGCGAGGTCATCAGTTCAAGGCTAACCTGAGCAACCTTAAGCTCAAACTGATTGGCAAAAAAAAAAAGGAAAAAAAAGCTGGTATTTTCGTCACTGCTTATGTTGTGCCAGATACATGTATTTGCTCACTTCACAATGAGAGGGAAGTGACTATGTGTGTCATCAGTGAAGGAGGATCATTCGGGAAGCATCATCAAACACCACCTACCGAGTGCCAGGACCTGGGCGACTGGAAGCCTCGCCACAGGGAAGGAAAGGTATGTGGAGAAGCTCAGACCTTACAGGGGAGTCTATATTCAATTGTAAGATTTCTGTACAAAATGTCTTTCTTTGTGCTGTATCATATGGTGAGAGATAAGAAACAAGCGAATGTCCAGCAATCAGAGAAGTCTTGACATGACAAGCTGCTTTTTAACAGCACTGGAAAAAGCTCTCGATCTAGTAAATATTTTTAAATCAGGATGCTAAGCCAGGGAGTACGTGCCTCATTATTTGGAAGTGCATTTATACATTCTTAGAAACAACCCTGGAAGAAACACCCCAGTGATCATGGGATTGTGGTAACATCTTTGTTGGTACCTTTTATATTTCTTAAATCAAAAATTCCTTATGCATCGGTGAAAAGCCTGTTCAGGAAGCTTTGCAGGGTCCCCTGTGTTCTTGGTGTTCTGTCAGAGGAGGCTGGTTTGAGTCACTCCCGTGGGAGAGCTGCCCTAAAGCAAAATGAACGGGAAGCAGGAGATGCAAGTTTCTAAGCTTCTGACACCTTCTGCGAAATTGCTTTCCTGCAAGGCTGTGCTGCTCCACCAGGTCCCCCACCAGCTGGTGTGATGGGCACAGGGTGTGGAGCAGATTGCTGGGTCCTAAAGGGATGGCATTCTGTCTGGTGACACTTAGTGACGGTCCACTTTTCTCCCACAGGACACTGGCTGATCTAGTTGCCAAGGCGCCTGACCAGGCCTTATCTCCAAACATGCAGGCATGGTTAGGAGATGAGAAATACACTTGTTTGGACAAGAGACTGGAGCATGGTTCAGTCAGCCTCGGCCGCATTATCTGCAAGAGCAAATGAGCCCTGCTGTTGCCGGGGACCCGCCTCTGCCTTGGCCGGAAGTGTTTGAGTCTGTCTGAATGGTCTGTTATCTCCAGGGCAACATAAAGTTTGCAGGAGGCCTGTTCACTTCAGGTGTTATCGCTGTCACTGAGATGGCGCTAAGCCTACAGGCGGCAGGAAGCCAACTGCTACGGCAGAGGTAGCCTTGAGCAGGGAGCCAGGCAGCCCTTCCTGCTCGAACGTGCAGTCGTTCTGCACGTCCTGATAGAGGGACATGCCAGACAAACCCTCGGGGTAATCCCAGCACCAGGAAAAACTTGTCAGTGGGTTTTCTCAGTGTCATTTTGAGGATTCCAACCTTGAGGGTTTTGGACTGGGGATCACACGTTGTTTCAATCAGAGTGTTAGGATGAGGATCTGTCCAGTTCAGGCATCTCAAGTTAGAAATGAGAAACCAGACTCAAATGTCTGACGGTCCTTGGAGGCCGGCTGAGGGGAGGACCTGAGGCTCCCCCTCTCCTTGCATGTGTACTTCATTCCACCTTGCTTTTCCCTGCCCCATGTCAAGAGCAAGCTGGGGCCAAGTTCGGGGCTCCCAGTTGGGCTTTGAGCATTATTTCCCCCACACTTGATGACCAGAAGGCGGTCTGTAGGAGGCTGGGGCAAGCAAAATGGGGCAAAGTGGCCTCTGCCTTCAAGTGCTCACAGGGAGGTTGGGCAGACAAAGCCATGGGGGAGAAATCCCAGGATTTTAACAGAACAGAGAGAAGGCATCCTTCCTTCCTGGCCTGCCAGACTCTTGGCAGAAGGCCAGGGATACTCATGGGGAAGGGAGTGGGGGAAGGAGGGATGGGCAGGGACAGTTTGTTCCAGCCCTCCTGTGTCTGTCCTGAGCTGAGTCACTGAGGCCTGCATCACAGCTGTGACACAGCTTTTGGGTGTCCTGGTAGGAGGGCTTTGGGCTACAAGTGGAGCATTGGAAGCAGATCTCTCTCCATACTGAGGGAGCAGATCCCCTGGTCTTGCCCTCTGTTCCTGAAAATGAGAGTCATACCTTGAAGCACAAAATGGGTTGTGGGGTACAGCTTGGTGTGTTGGAAGGAGGGCTTTGGAGGTAGGCTGAAACTGTATCATCCTTGCTCAGTTCCCGTGTGGTAGGGGTGCTGCTGCCTGGTCTGGGGAAGTCTGGCAGCTGCTCTGTAGCCCCAAGCCTGGATCTGCAAAAATTGACAAGAAGTGGAGGCCTTCCCATGGAACAGTGCCTGAACCCGCAACCCCTGGGGCAGACACTCCTTGTTCCTGGGTGCCTCACTCATCATGGCTCCCTGCTTGATTAGTTGGCTCGGGCTGCTCTTGCAGAATGCCATACACCAGGTGGCATGTGAACAACATGAGTTATAGTTCTGGAGACTGGGAAGTCCAGGATCAAGGAGCTGACAGATTTGGTTTCTGGTGAGGGCCTCTTCCTGGTTCATAGACGGTGTCTTCTTGCTGTGTCCTCTCATGGAAGAAGGGGTAAGGGAGCTCTCCAGGGCCTTTTATAGGGACCTAATCATCCCCCAACAACCCAGCCTCCTAATGGCATCACCTTGAGGTTTAGGATTTCAGCACATGCACTTTGGGTAGACACAGTCAAGCTAGAGCATCCTCCCTCCCCACCATGCTGGCTTCTGGGTTCTGCTCCCATGTGAATGTACATACACAAGGGGGGCCCTGAGTCTTCCTTAAGTCTCTTTGTCCAGGACAGACTGTGCTGAAAGGGCCCACCTAATGTCCTGATATGGTTTGGTTATGTCTCTACCCAAATCTTATCTTGAATGAATGCTCCCACAAGTTGTGGGAAGGACCTAGTGAGAGGTAATTGTATCATGGGGGCAGGTCTTTCCCCTGCTGTTCTCATGATGCTGAATATGTCTTAAGAGCTCTGATCGTTTCATAAAGAGGAGTTCCCCTGCACATGTTCTCTTTTCTGCCAGCATGTAGGATGTGATTTTGTTTCTTATTCCCCTTCTGCCACTATTGAGAGGCCTCCCCAGCCATGTGGAACTGTGAGTCGATTAAACCTTTTTCCTTTACGCAGTCTTGGATATGTCTTTATTAGCAGGGTGAGAATGAGCTAATACATCTGACAGCCTGGGACATCCCAACCCTCCTCAGTCTCTCCTTATGCAGGTTTCCTCACCTCCAGCCCCATCCTGCTCCATGTGACTTCTTTCTTCCTTAAACTCTCTGTACTCCCTCCTGCTCCCAGGATTTTATATTTGCTGTTTCCTCTGCCTGGAATGCACTCCTCCTGGCCTACAATTCCCAGCTAGTCTGGAGTGGAGAGCTTCTATGTCACTCCCTCTGGGATGTCCTTGCTGACCCCCAAGGCTGACTCAGGCCCTGAGTTCAACCCTCTTGTGCTTCCGAGAATTCCTGGGCATAGCTGCGCCATCACTTGTGCTTCCACCACCACATGGGGTTGCTGGGCCATCCACCTCCTCGGGGGCATCTGCTTCCTCAGAACAGGGCCTGGGCCTTTTGTCCCCTAGGATCCCAGTGCCAGCACAGAGAGTCGGCTCAGCTGCAGACACTCAGCAATGTTGACTGAATCAGGAGGCAGCAGGTGACTCGATATTCTGGGCTCATGGGAAAAACCCTCTCCTCTGCCTGATTCTTACCCTGAGGTGGCCTCACCCCAGTTGCCTTCACTGGGTAGGCCTCTTTGCCCACCCTCTCCTGCCTCACTAACCTTCCTGGCCTCAGGCAAATCTAAACTTAAGTGAAAACCAGGGTAAAGTGGGGCCTACGTCAGATCCAGAGACAGGCAGCCCAAGTTCCCCTCCGTCTGGTCCCATTTCCTTGTGAGGATCAGCCTCTTCCTGGATGATGACACCAGACTCTTCATCCTCTGGGGAGGGGTCCAGCCTGTTTCTGTGGCTCTGCGCTGGTCCCTGAGAGGACATACAGTAAGTGGCAAACACAGAAGGACCAGGCTGAGAGCAAGACCATGTCCTCAGTGGTTACGATGTGTAGGCCAGAGGGAAGTTGATCAGGGAATGAACTTAGCAGCATCCAGAGACTGATGGGGAAGAAGCTCTACTTGGAGGACCTGTGATGCAAGTTACAGAATCAAAGCTGTGGGGCCTGGTTTTGCTCTGTCCTCCTGGGGGTAGCAGGACAGGTGCCACCATGCAGAGAGTGGTCACATACACTTGGGCTTGCTTTGACCTGGGTCTTTCTTTACCAGTGCATTTTTGGTTACACTGGGAGAACTGAGATGGCTAATGCATTTTTTTAGGTCTCAGAAGACCTGGGTGCACTCTCTCCCTTTCTCCCTGCACTCCAGCCACACTGGCCTTCTTTGAGGTTGTAGAATGACTACACTCTGCTCTGCCTCCGGAGAGCACATACTATGCTCACTTTATGGAAAGCTTTGCTCTCAATCTCATCCAACCCCTTTAATTATCTGACTACTATCCATCCTTCAACATTCAGTTCAAATATCATCCCCAGAATAGAAAGTCTGCTGTAATAAACTCCCTTAGTTTCCTCCAGTTTTTTCTTCCTAACATTTATCTCAGTTTGGCAGTTGGGCTAATATCTGCCTCCTCACTGGTGTTTAGCCTCTTTGAGGGCAGAGATATGAGTGACTGGTCCAGTCTTATTCCCAACATCGAAGCTGAAGTCTGGCGGGCAGCAAATGCTCAGTAAGCGTTTGTTGAGTTGGCTTGTCAGAGCCAGAGGGAAGGTTTAGCACTGACACATGGGGGACATCATAGGAGAAGCCGCGTCTCATCAGGACCTCACCTTGAGGAGTTTCTCAGGTCAAAGGGTTTGGATCTGCCGCCCCTTCCATCCAAGGAGGAGTCTAAAATCAGGGTCAGCACTTTGCTTGTTCTCCACAGTTGCTTTCTTTTTTTTTTTTTTTTTTTTTTGAGACAGAGTCTCCCTCTGTCACCCAGGCCGGAGTGCAGTGGTGTGATTTCAGCTCACTGCAACCTCTGCCTCCTGGGTTCAAGCGATTCTCCTGCCTTAGGCTCCCGAGTAGCGGGGATTACAGGGGCGTGCCACCGTGCCCGGCTAATTTTTGTATTTTTAGTAGAGATGGGGTTTCACCATCTTTGCCAGGCTAGTTTTGAATGCCTGACCTCATGATCTGTCCACCTCAGCCTCCTAAAGTGCTGGGATTATAGGCATGAACCACGAAGCTTGGCCCAC